CCCATGGCTGCCTGAGAACAGAGGGGCAATTTTGCAGAGGGTGGAAACTGAGGCACGGTGAGCCTGGCTCCTGACCAGGCATAGTAGTGGAAAGGATGAGACCATCTCATCTGCCACTCTGATCTCAGGCGATGCCCCTACCCTGGCCTAAGACCAAGGACAGCTGCCAGAGGCGGGGAGGGAGGGGAAAGGTGGGGGCTCCCTGCCCTAAGCTCCAGACTTCAATTGGGGCTAGCCATGTTGTCATTCTCTCTCCCTACTCTGGGGAGTATAAGGAGTCTCCCATCCCTTCAGCCACTCATTGTGGTCTCAGGCGATGCTTTTCCCTTGGCCAAGGACAGCTACCCTGGGTGGATGAGGGGGGGTCCTTCCCGATGCTGCCGATTCCAATGGGGGCTAGCCGTGTTGTCATTCGTTCCCCCTGCTCTGGGGAACCCCCAGAATTCAGAGCCCTCTCCGGAAATCCCCCTTAGTCTCCTCTTTTCTAAGCTGAACAGTCCCCGTTTTTTAAATCTCTCTTCATATGGAACCTGTTCCAACCCCCTAACACTTTAGTTGCCCTTTTCTGAACCTTTTCCAATGCCAAGGTACCATTTTGTGAGTTGAGGTGACCACATCTGCACGGAGTATTCAAGATGTGGGCGTACCATGGATTCATACAGAGGCAATGAGATATTCTCCGCCTTATTCTCTATCCCTTTTTTAATGGTTACTAACATTGTTTGTTTTTTTGACTGCTCCTGCACATTGAGTGGATGTTTTCAGGGAACTCTCCACAGTGACTCCAAGATCTCTCTGGAGGGGTTAACAGCTATTTTAGTCCTCGTCATTTATTATGTGTAGCTGGGATTATTTTTCCAATGTGCATTACTTTGCACTTATCAATATTAAAATGTATTTGCCATTTTGTTGCCCCGGCACCTAGTTTTGTGACATCAGTGGCTCCATTAAGAGCGACCTGGAGGCAAGGAATGGAGTTGAGGGCTTGAAAATGCAGTGCTTCAGTGATGAGTGCTTTCGGCCTAGGATGACAGCTAGCTGTGCATGGGGACGGACAGGTGCAGGTCCCCAGGCAGGCAGCAATTCTTTGCTAGCCAAGCCAGCCCCTGCTCCCATTTAGCGGTACATTGCAATCATGCTCGTGTGACAGCTCTGGGCACTTGGTGAGCAAACAGGCCGGCCCAGGCCAAGGTCACAACCGCATCCCCCTGACAACAGCAGCGCCTCTCGTCGCCGCGAGCCGGGGCCTTGCTCAGACACGCAGTGACTGGCCTGCAGGGCCCCATCAGCCCGATTCCCAGAGACGGTCGCCAAGGCTCCTTTGGAGCCCTCGACGAGAGCATCAGTTTCCGTCACGTGACCATTTCAAGGGGACACGGCATCCACTGGGCTCGAGCCCAGAATCCCTGCGTCATTCAGAAACCTAACGGAGAAAGTGTCTATTTGGTCCCCCGTGGGACAGGCTTCTGGAGAAAGCTAGATATATACGTCTGTCTGTCTGTCTGTCTGTCTCTCACACGCACACACACAGAGTAGACATTCTTCTACAAAGGAATTTCACAAGCCAGCTACAGAGAGAGAGAGGAGAGAGAGGAATTGAGGTTCATTTGCAAATCTGACACTGTCTCTCCAGGCTTGAACAAAGACCTGAGCTGGATGGGCCATTATAAAAGCACCTTTCCTTACATTCAACATCCAACTGACATCCAAAGCTAAGTATGGGAACTCATTAGCACCGGCATCATCACTCTCAGGTGCTTCCCCCCCTTCTTTTTCTGTTATAAATTGCAAGGGTCCCCCCTTTTCTCTCCACGCTGCTCATCTGGGAAGTGGGTTTTGCCCACGAAAGCTCATGATGTTGCTTTTAAAGTTACAGACGGACACGGCGGCCCCCCTGAGACTGTCACACACACACGGCCTGGGCTGACTACACAGTGGACTGAGCTTCGTGCATCCCTGAATCCAACCCAGATCTTTGGGCCCCGCTGCAGACTGAAAAACATCTCTCCAAAGCCCAGCAGAGGCAGAGTGTGGCTAGGGCCACGCTAGGGGGGTTGGGAAGGAAAAGCCTTTCCCCGACCAGGCTACTGGACGCCTATGCTGCTGCTTAAACTCTGCTATTTTGTAGTCTCCTCTCGCCTTTTAAAGCCCTCATCACGACACCGGGTGGGCGCTGAGAGACGCAAGCCTTCTGGGCCTGAGTCCTCCATTATCCGAGAGTTAACTCTGCCACCTAGCGGCACTGTGGTGGTATCTTTTGGTCAGGAGAAGTTTCCGCAGGACACAGTCAAGATTAAAGATATAACATCCCATCTTGCTTACGCAGCAACCTTTGGCCATCTCTTCCACAACTCTTACTAGCCTAGATCTGTCACTGAGCCACCCAAAAACCGGATCTTTACCGGCCTCAAGTAGATTTCAACCTGTAACTTTAGTCTTCAAGTCTGTAACTTTAAAAACAAGTAGTCCTGTGGGACCTTGGAGAGTAACACAAATATATGGAGTATCATGAGCTTTCGTGGGCAAAACGCACCTCTTCAGATGAGCTGGAGAGGGGGAAATAAGGGAACCCAGAATTTATGACAGAAAAAAAATGTGGGGGAGAGAAAAAAAAGTTCCTGTCAATTATAGTGTCAGTGTCAATGAGTGGACTGGAAGTGTCCCATCTGTTTTTTCCCACTCCAGCTCATCTGAAGAAGTGGGTTTTGCCCACAAAAGCTCATGATACTCCATATATTTTTGTTAGTCTCCAAGTTGGCACAGGACTACCCGTTGTTTTTACCAATACGGTCCAGCTAACCACTGCATTACTATATTCTAAAACACACTTACATTAAAGTACCTTTATATGTTAAACAAACGATTATCGACAATAAAAAAATAGCCCTTCAATTTTAGAAGCATCTTTTCCAACCTCCCGTCCGCCAGCACCCTCACTAAGGGATAGGTCGATGAGGAACCGGCTGGGACGTTTCAACCACTGAGCTTTGATATTAACTATCTTTATTACTCAAGGCTTTATGATGTCATCACGCCCTGTGATGGATTGGAAGAGTGAGGGCTTGTATTCGGTGACTAATGGGTTAAACTCAGGTAGTTAGGGGTGCTGGCAGAAAGCCAGCAGACCCCCTGGAAAAAGATGTTGAAATTTCAATGGGAAGATAGACCTGGCTGCTGTTTTCTTTGGGCGAGTTTTTAAAGCGAGGTGCTGGGGGAAACAAGATAAATAGAACCTGGGAGAACTACCATGCCTACAAGGAATACTGGGCATGGAAATGGACTGGACCTTGAAGCACCAATCGTGAGTAGACAGGAAAAGCATCTGTTTAGTCGCGATCAGGTTATTTACTTTGTTTTGTTGTTTGGTTAAGCGTCTCTGTGCTAAGACCATACGCCCCTTTCCCCTTCACTGTATCTAAGGTGCCCCCAGAGATTCCTTCTTTCCTCTGTGTTTTAATCTGTTCTTTTCTCAGTCGCTCTGTAACACCTAGCAACCAAGTCTGCTTTCTCCAGTATAACTTCTTTGGTTTTGTTAATAAAATCACCTTTGTTAAGGCGATGATTTGCTTCTTGTGTCCTGGAAGGTTACAGGAGGGCTGTGTGTGACTGTCTAAGGCTGAGAACTCACCTATCAGAGACTGCAGCACCCCTCCCCTTCTGCCTCCCACACTCTGCACAGGCAGCAGGAGTCTCCCAGAGGGCAGCTCCAAAGCAGAGGGCAGGTGCAGCATGGCAGTGAGTGGAGGGCAACTGAAGTGCCAGTGTTTGAGAGAGGCTCCAAGATTGCTCTCACCTGTGAGAGGCTCCAAGATCTACCGGTAGATCCCGATCGACTGGTTGGTGACCACTGCTATAGAGGCAAGGTATTTAAGGTCTCTTGTGGGCCCCACCTCCTGCACTTGGAGTGCCAGTGGGGAACGGCCTTGACACCCCCAATACTGCAGAAGAGCCAAGACATCTTAGTGTAATCGACATGGACTTTGTGTTTGAGCTTTGCGGGCTTGTGAGTTTCACAAACCATTTGCGGTGGCTCTTGTGAAGCTCTCATGCTGAAGCACATGACTCAGAAGCAAGTAAGTACAGAGCTACCCGCGAGCATCCTTGTGATGCATTCGGCTACGGTAGGGGCTGAAAGAATGATCATTTGCATCCAGCAGAGGACTTCAAAGCTCTTTATGGATATTAATTAACAACCTTCACATGAGCCTGGAGGGAAAGGAAACATCGCCCTTCCGCGTGTACGGATCTGACTTGTTTACATCACACTAGAAGCCAGGGCCAGAGCTATGAATGGAACCCAGGAGGTCTGGCTTCCATCCCCCCTCTCTAACCAACAGAGCAAGAGTGGGCAAGAATTTTCACAGGGGGGCCACCCCTAGAGTTTGGTAAATGGTCACGGGCAGTGTTTTTGTACTACAGTAATGGTGGGGGTGCAGGATCTAGGACAGAGTTTGGGTACAGGAGGGAGATCCAGGCAGGGGACCGGGATGCAGGATGGAGTGTGGGGTCTGGGAGAGAGTTTGGATGCAGGAGGGGGTTCTACCCAGGAGCAGAAGTGAAGGGGGATACAAGGTCTGGAAGGGGGTTTGGGTGCAGGAGGAGGTTGTATCCCTTTGGCAGGAGTGGAGGGGGAGCAGGGTCTGGAAAGGGGGTTGGGTACAGAAGGGGGTTCTAACCTGGGGCAGCGGGTTCGGGGTCAGGCTCTGGGAGGAAGTTTGGTTACAACTGGACCCTGCTCCCATCTGCAAGCACCACCCCTGCAGCTCCCATTGGTGGGAACACGGCAGGCAGGAGGCAACGTGCTTGCACACCCTGCTGGCCACAGGACATTAGTAGCCTGAAGGGTCCCAGCAGGCCAGATCCAAATGTTTGGCCAGACAGATTGGACCCACAGGCCGTATTTTGCCCACCCCTGCAACAGAGCATAGAGACCCAATACAACCATGGGAAGACAAGAAGAGAATGAATCCTGAAGTTGTCTGGGGTTAAG